TTATCGATCTTTTCAGGTATCCACAGCAATCACTTGCCCCTCCAACAATCATGCGTTACAGTGTTCGGGTCACGGAGACTGCACCACGACCGCTGTGAGTTGAAAATCAATTCTATTCAATTTTATAATTTTTTTTTGCTTACTGCCTAGAATTCCAAAAGTTTCGGAACCTCACCCCCGACTCTTCAATATTCAGGCAGCATTCTAGCCGAAAATATCTCCCGAAGATGAATTTGACCCAAACTTTGTCCTCTAGAGCGAATCTTCAACAAATTCGATGATCTCGTGTGTTTGGCGCTAACGCGTGTGACGCGGGCGCACCCCTGGAGGCGAGATATCTCCCTAAATTTACCCGTAACCCAGCGTTCTCCCCAGGCGTAACTTAAACCCTCCTATGAGGGAATTATAGTAGTAGTTATTTTAATTCTGCTTGGTAATAAAGGAAGTTTTTTTCAGATTTGTGTCTGCTTCGCTGGCTGGACGGGATTGGCATGTGATACGCGCTCTTCGAAAATCGTGGCCAACCGCGTACCATTGTGAATGTTCCATCAATAGCTGTAGGAAAAACTTTGGATACTGCCACTTTGCTCGGGATTCTTTTGATTGTAAGTGACTCAATAAGCGGTCAAGCTCCATGACTAAGTTTATACTTCGCGTCAGCGTTCTAAGTGACTAGAAAAATATAGGTACCGATTCTGACGCAAAGTATGAACGCTCTCTAAAAGCAGATTTGAGGGTTTACTCGATCTTATTCTAGGTTGGCGTTGTTCTTCTGCTGCTCCTCGTCTGCCTACTCTTCTGCTATCGTCGCCGGTCAATAGTGGAGATTCCCACGCCTTCCGATGAAAAGCTTGATGACAGTATACCAGATCGAACACAAAGATCCATAAAATTTGGAAGCATGCCGAGTTGGAGGTACGTTTCCAGCAGCAGTTATTAGGTCTGATTTGGAGATTTGAAATTTGATTTCAGAGATGAAAAACGGAAACGGAAGAGTAATAAACATGTCTATGGTGCGCTGAATCGTATCACTGAGGCTGACGAAAGGGATTCCGCAAGTGTCAAGTGAGTAAACATCATGGCTCAAGCATGAATGTCTAGAAATCTCGGCACTGTCCGGTGTCCGGCTTGGAGGGGGTCTTTTGCACTTCTGCCAGTTTCTTTTGCAAGTTCATATTAACTAACAGGTCTAACTTCGGTGAAAGCAACTTTGCTTGTTAGAAGGAAGCTCATGCTATTGCTCAGCTTTTAAGGGGCTCGCAGGCATCGATAGTGATCGATGGAAACCAGAAAAAAGGTGCCCTCAGCAAGCCAAATTGCTCCATCGGCCCGACAGTTTCCTTCGTTTCTCTTTGGAAAGATAGGCTAAACTAGCGCGGTGGCTAGAAGCGCTCCTTTCTCACTGTGCACGGAGTCAGATTTCACCTATGGCAACCATCTTTCCGCTATCAGCGAAATAATGCTGAACTGCTTTGAGTAGGTAGATAAGGACTGGCTCAGGGGTCTGGATTATTACACGCGGCATTTGCACCAGGACCCAACCCACCCAATGCAGTGCTTTTGCGACGCGTCGACTCTCTGTACGTCTGCGTCTCTCAAGTCGACTTGCTCTCATGGTGCCTTGGGTCTGTCCAGTCATCTAGCTAAGAAATGGGAGACGGGCAAGAGAATCGTGAACTGAGCTTCGTCGCGGGAACTGCGCTTTCTCGCGCGGCGGCGGACGGACGTTCCCTTAATTTGCATTATCCTTGTTAGCGAACATCGGATTTCATGTATGCAAGGGCAAGTGCAGCATCTAGCTCTTACGGCTATTTTTAGCGTACATTGTCTGTATCTGACCAGTACGCCTGCACATCATTAGCTGGCGCGAACTTCGCACGCCACGCCCACTGACGCGGCGCTGGTTACGATTCTCGCCTACATACACCTAAAGAAATGACGCGTTGCTAATACACCCTGATGCTGTACTTGCAATGTAACGCTCCGCAGCTTTGAGGTGAAAATTTTGCAAAACTTACGAATCACCGAAATTTCCTCTGGTTTTCTCTTAGACCCCCTTCCCACCCCTCCCCACGGGGATACGGTTTAGGATCCACGAAGTCAGCCTGCCGCCCCCCCCCCCCCTGCCGCCGCGACGCGCGGAGGAGAGGCGGGCCCCGCGATGTTTTCGCTATGTACGCGGGGTTTGCAAAGTCCATTAGATTACCAGCAGTCTGCTTATTACTTGCAAGTGTAAAAACTATGAAAGGAGTGGGCCCGATGTTCAACAATTAGTATAAAAGCAATGTCTATTTACATAGAAATAATATTTAGAGAATACATCAGCAATTCACAAAAAAATCAATTGAGGGTGAGTCCTTCTTTTGCATTCCTTAAGGTATTGTAAAGGCCTAAGATTCGAGGCCAGACGGGAAAATACTCTCCTTTTCATTACGGACTGTCGGGCGTAATCACGCCAGTAGATGTGCCACACTGTTGAACCCTTCTCAGCCTTTTTCTTGTAAACGCGTGCGACAAAAAAGTGTAGAAAACGAGTAATACGAACCCGATTATAATGCTGTCATGTCATTTGCTCACTTCAACAACTGGTGCAGAAAGACTTTGGCACCGCGGAAAACGCAGCCGCACTGACCCGCCCCGACAGTCCGTAATGATGAGGAGTGTAGGTAGTATTGAAGAAATACAGCAGTCCGTTGGATAAATACAGCTGCCATTCAAAAAAATTGACGTCCCATTGAATATTCTGGTTTGGCAAAATGCCAAACAAATTTGCGTGATGCCAGAACTATGTGAAAGGACGGGATCTTAATCGCACGTCTGTATGGGTTCGTCCAATCACGACAGCAATCGCCGCGCGCGGCGAGGCGAAACATGGCAGCCGTGACCCCTCGTGGAGTCCTAACCTACACCACCCCCCCAACCCATATTTCCTTAGATTCACCCACCTTACCATCGAGTTTTGCTCCAAAAATCTGCAGTGTCGGAATGCGCTGTCAAGGAAGGTGATCACGTGTCCAACTATACAACTCAGGTAAACGCTTATCTGGGGTAGCGCCTGCTTTAAAGACAAGCGGCGCTCACAACTAATCCGTACGAGGAGATAGAGTGTTGTGGTGCCTCCTCTTTGCGCAAATCCCATTCCAAAAGATATCTTACACGTTTTCGATTTCTTTGACAATTGGAAAATGAAATGAAGTATCTGTTGTAGGTCTCGTGAAAGTGGAAGCCAGAATGCTGGTAGTCAATTGCTCTTCGAACCACATCAAATGATCACATGAGCCGGCAGTTCTATTCATTTGAAATGCAGGATAAACCATAGATTGTCCAAACATACAGGGGGGGCCAAAAAAAGACATTTCGACCGAGTCACATATCAGCAAAGTTTTCGCAGCCCAGACAGAGGACGTGGATACGAGTACCAGGGCGGAAGATACCAAGATGTTCCTCTATAAGCAGGAGCTGGCGCTCCATCACCTTCATGTACACCAAAATATGAAGTCATCTCCAGTCGCAGCCTGACTGGAGAAGACCTTTGGAATTCATGTCACCTCCAAACAGCTGCGAAACTTCTAGTATGGAGTCACCCATGGATAGCTACCTGGAGACCAGTACTCTCGATCTGGAAGACCTCCAACATCGAGCAGCTCCGTCAACGTCGCTACGGTCTAGGACATCATCTTCACCTCAGTCGCCAAGGCGCCAGTTGATGGTTGGGACCGGACGTACCTGGAATGGAGAGACCGATATTTTCTTCATGGCCCCGACTAAAGGTGAGCGCTGGCGGTTACATCGAGCAACTCGAGAAGAATATCCTCTCCACATGTCGTCGCCCGTACCTTCTTGGAAACTTTGTACTGCTACAGGATTGAGTGACACCACATGAAAATGAAGGGCGTGGAAAACTCGCCTTACTGCAAGGAAGGGCGTTGACTACCTCGCTCGCGAACTATGAACGTGCTGGTGAAGATGCTAACGCCACGGTTGCTGAGAAGCCGTTAGAGCCTAAACGTCGCGCGCGTCAATTCACCTGTTCCCTGGCAGGAGGGTTCAAGAGACCAAGAGTTGGTGCGAGACATCTCCACACATACTGAGTCATGACACAGTGACTATGAAGTCAAGCGTCGGACAAGCCGGCAAAGTTACTGGGTAATCCTTCGCTTCGCAGCAATCCTTTCTCGATGCGCCGCGTCTCCATAAGGCTGATGCGACGGCTTGAACTTATGATTTCCAACTAGCCTTTAAATATGCCATCTAAATATGGAGGTAGAAATGTCCGATTAGAAATCTAATAACACTCGTAACCTGTAACAGCCGCCGTCCGTCTTGCCGGTTTTTATTCCGCGCAGCACCCACCTACCTCGTTGCGATCCAAGCGATCGTCACATATACAATGTGTAATGGCAGCCCCCCTGGTCTTCCAAAATGCGGCCGCAAGACCCCTTCCCCCTTACCAAGCTGATTTTGCACCATGCCAGCTCATTTGAAAATTAACAAAAAATTTTTCAGGCCGATCAGACATAGTTATACGGCAACGTGGCCGACACATCTATGAAACTCTACCGTATTATGTCGGATACGTCCCCTTCACCTTTAACGGCCGAACGTATGCTTATGTGCAGCTTATCAATAATTTTGCAAATATCATTTCCAGCGGTACGAAGCTATTATTTGTTTACGATAGCAATCTCTATTTTACATTTAATTATCTAGCATAGTTTTAGCGTCTTTGGGTTCACTGGTGGCAGTGGATCGTAGCATCTCCTTATCTTCACAAGGTGGAAAAATGACTAAATTAGCCTGGAAAAGCAAATAGTTCCTGCACGGGCTGCGGCCCGTTGACGACCGCCCTAATCAACTACCCCGCCAGATGAGGAAGTTTACATAAAACATCAAACCGACGCACAAAGTTACTGGTTTATAAAATGAAGGGAAAAGGATTATGTGAGTGATAAATGAAGGTTCCCCATCACGACAGTGTCAAAGGTTATCACGTCTAGATCACTTCGTGGGAGAGGTTTTCCAAGGTACCCATCTTCGAGCACGACTAAGCGTGGTTTCGGTTCAGACCCATGTCTTGGCACTGGAGCAGCTATACGTGTCCCCGATTTATCAAGTAAACCGTGACTTGCTCTTGACGTCTCTTCTAATTAACCTTCGATAGCTTCTTCCATTAGTAGTAAATCCTCCATGATGCGGACAGACTGCCATGCCCATCATGAATGTGTCGAACATCAATTTTCGGGGGGGGGAACTCCTAGCGCGCCTTTAAATTATTTTTATTCTTATAAAAATGCTTCATGTTTAGTTAGTGTGAAAGTATAAAACATCGATACTATGAAATGTGAAAACAGGTTCACCATTGCGGAAAGCCAAAAATGAGAAAAAAACCCTAGAAATCAGACAAGATAATGGAATACCCCCTCCAGTCTTCAGCTTTCCTGATACCAAGCAGGTTTTTTCCAAAAAAAGCCCTCATATAAAGCCTCATATAGGTTGAATGGCGAAATCAGGTCTACCGCTTTGCTCTCCTCATCCTTCGCGAGGCTCTCCTTTGTGCAGCGGTAAAAGAGCAGAATCGCACCAATGAGGAAAGCACAGTTGTAGACCTGACTTCGCCAACAAACCATGAGGTCTTTGGTTGTAGGGCTTATGTCAACGGAAATTCTCTCTCTGCGAGGGTCCAGAGATTTTCCCATCCGCATCTTCTGGCCAGTTCATTCAAGGACTAGAAATAAGTATACGGAAGCAGAGTGGGAATGAAGGAAAAGAAGGGGCGGGGCGGAAAGACTGTCCGCCGCTCGAACAAGGTTCTTCTTGAGACTTACGTATGTTAAAAGCAGCTAGCAACCAGTAGAGATAAATTGCAGCTTAAGAACGAGTAGGGTTTCAGGATGGAACCTGACCTTTATGTGTCCTGTGCATGCAAAGTACCTCCTTGCTTTCTAAACACACTATTTTCCGAATGATTGTTGTTTAAGGTCATTAAATAGTTGGACGCAATCGCCAAACGCTAGCACGGAACATCTGGCACCGACTCCATTACGGCTAAACAACATCAAACAGTTACTTCGGAATCTCCAAGATGATGAAGATGGCCCTGATGAGTTTCGTGATGATTGTATCGAACTGATGGATGCACGATATCCTCTGGATGCCTATGGTAGGTCTTGATGTGTTCAGGTTTTTGGGATAAGAAAAACTGTCAAAAATAGCAGTGATACCGTGTACTCTGCAAATGTGAGACCTGCCCTTACATTCCACTCAAAAGGAAATAAATTTTCCACGGCGACAAGTCTCTTTTGGACTGCGCCATGCATTCGACTTTCTTTCACAACTGCTATACATTTGAATGCATTTTTGGGCTTCTAGAGACCAAGTTGTGTACAGCGGGGAGGGGTTTTTCATCCGACCAATCAATGCGGTGGAATTTAACGGAGGGATATCGAAGCATGGTCTGGGGCCAGCTTTTTAGTACCAGAACTGTCCGATATGTGAACCAGGCGGCTACTCGGCAAATTTTCTTATGGTTACTAGCAGTAGTTTACAATTTTCAGAGTGGGATAAGAAGGAAAAAGCTCCAGCGTGAAAGAAGCGCTTCTCATTAAGAAAAAGGGGAATATGCAAAACGGCTCACCCACCCATTGAAGCTCCTAGAGCCCTAAAAGCTACTACGAGCTCTAGCGCCTGACGTAAAACTAGGGCTTGTAGTGGACTAGCACACGAGCCACAAAGCCCTCCTGGAAGGATTCTCATTTACACACTGACTGCCCCCCCTTCCCCGCCCCCAAGCCACATATAAGCCAAATTGCATGTGAAAAGCCGCCGCTTACGACCACGAGGAGGGGGGGGACTCTTGAAGAACTCCTTGTGCGAAAGTGGAAACCACGCCATCTGAATATGAATACCTGCCTGTATAGCCTGGTTCGCTGGTTGCCGCGTCAAACCCAGCCCCCTTCCCTCTGACACGCCCCCCCCCATCCGCAGTGCACAAGCTCATTCTCTAGCTGGGATCCTTGCAGGAGAAGTCCTCGAAATGCCCACTACCCAGAGTTATTAGCGCCAAAGACTTTTACTATTGTGAATGGTGGTAGAATGTTCGGCGCGTCCCGAGCATAGTGATGAACGGCCAAAGTCTCCTCCTCGTGTCCTTTCTTGTTTCACTTTATAGAAGTTGGATTCTTTTCAGGCAGCTCCTATAAACCAATCGGAGAGATCTGGTGTCGAAGCAGACCATGACCACGGGTCAAATACCGAATCTAGTCGCGGCTATGATCTTGGACCCTCGAGCTCCGGATAGCCGACTCGGTGACGGATCGGCATCCCCACCTCTTGGCCGAAGCACTTGTGACTTCCGACAAAGTCCATCCCTCTTTAATGATTCTTTCAAATACATACATAGTTCAGCTCACTTTGGAATTTGAAGGCCTCACTTTAAGAAAGTGCTGTGGTATGAGTGCTTCTGGTACTGTTTTGAGACATGTATTTATTTATTTATTGTTATTGTTTTTACTTTGCACGTTTCGCTCAGTATGTCCTTAACAATTGATCTCGCCAGTCATTATCACTTTAACCAGTATTTCGCTCAAGTTTTGCTACTGATACCAGTAATTTTTTGTGGCGAGGTATATGGTAGCTAATTTGGACAAAAGTAGGCGGAGTTTCTCCACAGTTTCGAGAAATATTCGGTGATATGTGCTGCGTCGGTCGTTTCATCGTCGACCGTGTTTTCATGCTCCTGAAAGCAATAGTCATCGTTTTATTTTGATCAGTGCCTATTATGAGACATTCCACGATTGTTGAATGGGCGGGGACTTTCTCCCACATTTCTTTGCTCATTGCTTCGCACCTTTTTCCGATACGGCAACTGGGAGGGGACACTCAACTGGGAAAGGCCTAGTGGTTACGAGTCCCGCCCGCCCAGTTATCGCGGAATGTGTCTCTAAGTAACACTGACCTCCATTTCCGATTTGACAACAGTGATGTTGACGTTCACAATAATCACTAATAGGATGTAATATTGTAATTATAATAATTACATTGTATAGTTTCAAGTTTCACGAACGATGATAATAAAGTATTCTCGCTCGTAAATTACTCGTCAAAACCGTTAGAGGTATCAGTGGCCTTGCTACACCAGTTCTAGAGATTCTTGAGTTTTCGGCCTTTGTTTTATGGGTATATCTTAAAGAAGCGGTCCGCGATGACCTATGAAAATGCAAGAGGTTATGTGGGAAGGTCCGGAGTGGACAACCCTGTGCCAGTTTCGCGGCGGAAAGTTGTACGGTAAAGGGATTAAGGCGCAAAGTTGCTTCAGTGGTACATCCCTTTTCCAGTGACTCCGCCTCCAGACTCCGCCTCCAAAGTCGGCCTTCCAGCCAAAAGTGCTCCCGGGCAAGTATCATGGAGTGGGTGCATTCAATGTCTCTAGTAGAGTCATAGAGTTGATCACTGGGAATCAGCCAACGGGAATTATCGCAGCGCGCGGTCTTTATCTCTACAGTTGTTAGAGGCTAGAGGAGGTCTGACGAATGCGTTTCAACGTTCCCTTTGGCATTTTCTCTTCATAGATGGTTCACTTGGCGAATTTCCTCCCATATTTCTGCAAAATCACCTGGGCTTTTTATCGCGGACTGTGAATTTAAGTTACATCTTGATGTGCTTTTGATCGGGACACTATGTAATGTCCCACTGGCAACGCACGCGACGCCTCTCCCAGCGCTACAATCAGGGCGATACCCTCTCTTTTTTTTACCGTGAAAATCCCTCTTAACCGCTCTTAGCACCGCTTGCCTTCGAATCCTACAAAAAGTGTGGCTCTTGCCCTCACGACGTGCCACTCTCGAGACACCCTCGCAAACCAAGTGTGATCTAACCTCTCTTCAACCCTCTCCCCCTCACCCCCAGCGATTTCAACATGACGCCAGAGAATTCCTTAATCATGATCAGGTCACGTCTTGCCGCAGGGGGAAATTTTAGCAAAATACGCTCCTCCCTATTTCCTCCTCTACTACGACCCTTCTTCCCCATATTCCTTTTTCCCTCTCAACTTCTCGTTTGTTCCCACAGAGTACCACTTTTCGTATTTTTTCGGGAATCCTCCGTTTTTCCTTCAATCCCCAGGAAACTGCCGTCAAGCGAGAAGCGTCTCAGGGTACTTGTCAACCGTGGAGCCTCCCGTATCTTCCTCCTTCCTTCTTTTCCTTTCTTCCTTCTCTCTCCCCTCCTTCTTTGCGTCCTCCCTTCAACAGCTGGGATAGCAGATGCCATGAAAAAATACTTCTGGACCCTCACAGTGAGAGCGTGCCGACTGGCAACTGCCCTAGAACCGTCAAAAGCGTAGCGAAGGGAAGAGGCTGATCAGAGGTGGGGGTAGTGCCCCGCTTTCCCAAGTTATAATTAGGCGTCAATTATGCCGCGCCGTCTGCGCGTTCCTCGATACAGCGAGACTTTCGGCAGTGATATCAGTGGAGTGCCGGGTATGTGCTCCTTTTTACTTTATCTATTGTTTTTCGACTGCAGCTCTTAATTTTATTGACTTGGAGGAAGACATGAACCAGAGAAGTCACTAAAATACTTCCGCTCATTATAAACGCATAAGGAAAAAGAAAGTTTCTCCACAGAAGAGGTTAGCATCTCAACAAAGTTTCGAAAGCATTCAGCTCATACTTTGCGAGGAATGTTAGCCGTTGTATATTTTGTAATCATTGTGGTGTGAGGGTCTGATCGCTTTTTACACAGCAAATTTTTTCCTAGTTGTTCTGCGGTATTTCTTGCCTCTAAGGCTCGGCAGGTTTCCCGACAAGTAATGACTGGAAATCCTTCCGAGAAGTCTCGCGAGCTTTCTGCCTTGTTCAGAACTTAAAGATTCATGATAGTAGTTGTTATTGTTTGGGAACATTAGAAGTTGTTTGGTTGAGGATGTTCTAGTTTCACGTTCGAAGGTTCACCTGATGTGGTTTCCGTCATTGGTATAAGCACTCTTGAACAATTTTTTCAATTCATAATTGCTGAGGGAACAAATTTTCTGGGATTCACACTCCTTAATATTTCCTGGCGGGCGTATGCAATGCGTTCTAGCATTCTTGTGATTCCTTTTCCATTGGGAAACATTTTCATATTCACGCCGGATCCTTAACCTTTCATATAATATTCAGGCTGTCGTTAGGTCATGTATTGTCCGCAGATCCTTGAACGTTCTCCCTGTCTTTATCTGTCTGCGCGCTCTCATTTCGTGGCGGGACCTTGTAAAGAGCTCACAGTTAGGCAGTGCATTTATGAGACCCGCGCAATCTACGCAGCAGCCCCATCGTAGTACTGGCAGTAACTAGTAGCGCCGTACCAAAGTACCGAACATGTCCTTCAAGGTGAGTTTTTAACCTATCTATTTTGTAGGAAAAAAACCAACAAATAATAATAATGACATTAACGAACTATTTTTTGGAGTGGCTCTCAGGAGCCCGCAATAGCCCGTATGGTGGTTCTATCCAGCATCTCCGCGTCCCAAATCACTGGGAGGTGGGGAAGGGGAATATGCTTGTGTAACCGCAATAACCTCCAGCTGAGGGCAGGACTAACCGTTCGACCGTTGGCTCCCAAGAGACATTATGCGCTAGCGTAGTTGGAGGGGGAGGAAGATCACTCGCCAGCGCTTTCGTACCCCTAAGCAAGGCTTGGCTTGGTGGAGAAATGTCTTTGCTGCGGGACTACCCTTCTGGTCGTCTGCGCTCCAAGCCCAAGCTTTCTTTAAGGAAGGGGAGATGCGCAGCCGAGTGGTCCCCCTCCCAACTACGTAAGCGCCCATCATTCTTCCTTCGAAGACTTATGGCCGATACCGAACTCATTTTTCTGTGGAAATGTGCTCAGATGCTACCTCCATTTTTCTTTAGAGTCGCAAGACCTTTTGAAGTGTGGTTCTTGAGGCGACTTGGAGGGAGCCGGGCGACAGCACTGCAAAGTCCGCTCCTCAGTGCCTCAAGACCTCAGTGCCGCCCGCGGGTTGTAACCCTCTGCACCCGTTAGGGCCAAGCCCTGGGACTAATATTTATTCATCGCGCCCCGGGATGCTCTCTCCCAACTATTATGGCACCCTGCTCGCTTTTATTCTCGATCGAATTCTAGAACGCTTGAGGAATATGCTTTGACACATTTCCTTGAATGCTGTTCGGGTTGTGGGAGGGGAGCGTTTTGCTAGTTCGGCAGTTTCTCTTACTGTTTCTTGTTAAACTACACTTGGTGAGTGCTGTAGAATCTTATCAAGTGTAAACGAAGCTCGTCGTTGGAAACTAGCAGAACGCCGCTAGTAAGCCGAATTGCGCCCTTCCTTGTGTGTCCTTTAGGAGTCTGCCTTGTTTCTATTATTCTTAGACCAGTAGTGAACTTTTCATGCCTTCTTTCCCTGTACTGTATCCGGTTTTTTTTGTCGTACCTACTGCCTTGTTCGACATTGCCTTTCTACTGTCACTTTGCAGAAAGTTGTTCCAGCGAGATAGTCTCCGGAAGTCTCCGAAAACCTGATCGAAGTACTTGAATGCCCATTTTATTATGGGTATCGCAGGTCTTTGGCCGCTTCTTGAGCCGACTTGTCAACCGGTCTCGCTAGAATCTCTAGAGGGAAAGATTCTGGCTGTTGGTGAGCTTTTTTCCAGAATACTTTCTGATATGTCATCACTTTTTATTATACTTATTTGATTTTGGTGACATGGTACATTTTTGTGTGGAGAAAAAAGGTAGTAAAAGAATGCTTGGCGTGGGAGGGATGAGTATTTAGCCTGTGTGAAATAGTCTGAGGAAAGGAGTTCCGGTATGGGCAAACCAACTCCTTCGTGCAAGGAGCGCTCTCTGGTACTACTGCTCCAGAATGCCCCTCCTTAGCGTCGTCCCCCTGGTTCATTTTTCAAAATCTTTCCAATTTTCCCTTCAATGAAGTAATCTTAAGCCATTTCTAGACGCATGAAAAACCAAAGCGCTGTTAGGTTTTAAATTTGCATTTTCCGCTACGAGCACTTTCGTTGCTTTTTGGCCCTTTTGGGGGATTCCTCGAGAACTAAATATGATTCCGGCTGATGTAGCGGTTAGGAGAAATTTGGGGACAAAGTCAGGGCTTTCCATAACATAGCATATGTTAAGCAGTTCCCTGAGGCCATGTTGATGATCTTTCGGGAAGTGGAGGATCGGGTGAGTGGAAGGTCCGGTGGCAGTTCTCTTTAATAGACGTGCCTCTATGTCTTCCTTCTTTTTGTACCTACGTAGCCATGTTCGGTTTGGCAGCTGCGCCCGTTGGTGTCCTGTCAGATTTTGGGGTTTGTACTTCGCTTGCGCGCAACCTCCGCATCCTGGGAATGCAACGCTTCCTCCAATTCCAACACCGTGAATGTATCCGCACTCTTTACCCATTCTACTGCAAGCTTTTAAAGCAGCGTCCACGCATCAACCAAAGCTGAAAAAACCTCGCAATGAAAACGAACAGCGGAGTACGCAACGCACAGCGAATCCACTCTTTCGCTCGAAAATCGCACTGGTTGACTAGGCGGAGTCAACAAGGCTGAGCTGGCGCTCCTTTCGTAATCCGCCCGTACTGTAACAGTTGTCAGTCCGTGTGCTGGCATTGATAATCGCTAAGATTTCTGAGTTTCGGACGAGCCGCGACGTGTATTTGGTAGAAACTCTCTCTTAAAGGTGTGCGGAAACTCGTCCACATGCCTTAAATTTCGTAGGGTCTTATTTCACGCTCTTCCACACCTTTTTCCTACTTTTTTTGATTAGTGCTTAATTGGCCACCTGTTCTAACAAATTTGACCCCTGAGACCTGCCAAAGTCCATCGCGGGCGCTGTCTTTAAGGCGCCAGACGGTTCATTCGACAACATTCTCTTTACACCCGTTCGGCGTGAATATGCTTTTTTCATGAAAATTGTTCGCGCTTGCTTTGAAACTGTAAGTTCTATAGCTTTCTGGACGTTTTTTTAGGTACGAGAAAACCTCTCTATTACCAGGGGAGTCTATTTTTCTTCATTTTTCTCATGTTTTCAACGCTTTGTCTTGCCTACTGTTTACTTTTTAGCCGAAATAATATTGTACTTTTTATACATGACAGAGATGTTAGCTAAATCAACTACAGCTGATTTCGATGTGCTACTCTTTGATATATCTCTTTTCAGACGTTTCTATTTGGATATACCAAGCTCAGCTGGGATATCCTGGCGATGTACGATGTCCACATCTCGCGTTACTTGTTTCTCGATTGTGCAAACTTCTATACTATAAAATCCGACCGGTGTTTGTATTTGATGGTGAGGACGTTCCGTCGTTCAAGAGGAAAGTCTTGGTAGGTTGGTATTTTCAGTTTATTTGTGTGTGTGTGTGTGTAACCACCACTGGTGGCGTAAACGTGGACGGGGTGGGCAATCAGCCCCTTATCTATGTCCCTTCCCCTAATCGAGACTCAGGCACGGACGAGTGCAGTCGCCGAAAGTTTCTTTCGAGAGAACATTAATCTCTGTTATGACAGAGCCCTGGTTAAAGGGACACAGAAGCGCTGCCGGGTCATCATCCGACCCCCTCCCCCATTTCTCCGCAACTGCGAACAGCCTTTTTGAGTCATATATAGAGATGAGTGATGAAGGAGGTAGGGAACGAGTGGGATATGTATTCGAGATGAATCGGATGGTTAGTTCCTCTTGGAGTTCGTTCCACAAAGAATTTGGGATCGATCCTAGTTTGATGTCATTTTCATCTCTTTTTTTCTGCGGTATCCCACCGCTTACATTTAGCTTGAGTGGAATGGGGAGGTCACTAGGTCGTAGTTGCCAAGTTATTTCAATCACATCATTTGGAACATCGCATGTTAATTTTCTGCGCCGCTCGGCTGGAGAGGGGAGGGGCATTTCGCATTTTCGTTACTTCCCATTGTCGTAATAAATGCTTTACAAGAGTTGACGGCACTATTGAACTATTCCTACCCCAAAAACCTCAAAAAAATTTTATCGCTGAAACGTTGCCTATAGATGTAATTCGATGCGCTGATCACGAATATCACATCCGTTTCGAGCGCTGGCGTCATTTGGCGCCATTATGCGCCAATTTGGCGCCCACCACTTTTTTCACCAAAGTTGATGAAAACTTGCATATGGGGTTAATTGAGGTCCTGATTACGAATCCAACATTTATTTTTGGCGCTGGCGCCATTTGGCGCCATTACGCGCCAATTTGGCGCCATATTGGCGCATAATGGCGCCAAATGGCGCCAGCGCTCGAAACGGATGTGATATTCGTGATCAGCGCATCGAATTACATCTATAGG